GGGCTGGGCACTCAGATCGGGGTGGCCAGAGAGCAAAACCACACTTGCAAAAAATGAGAGCAGAAATCAGTGTCTAACTTCTGCGTCCCTCGAGAGATCCCACCCTCGCGCAGACAGAAACACGGCAGCGCTCCCCCGTGCACTCACATCAGTTTCGAGGAGGTTGTGCATACTGGTCTCCGCTACTTCCTTGGACTCTTCAAATTTCTCCATGGCCTGTCGAAGTTCCTCATCGGGGATTTTGCCCTGTCGTTTCTTCTTGTAGTCAAAGTCCAAGCGTCTGCCTTCCAGCTTCTTGAGATGGTGCTGGGAAGAGGATGGTTATGAACAGTAAAGGAAAAGAAGGAAAACCCAGGGACTGGGAGCAGCCAAGCTCTGCTGCTGGGAAGGCAGCTCTAGTTACAGGCCAAGTTCGTCCGTCTTGGAAACCTGATCTCAGAGCACGCTTCTGCAGCTCCCACCTCTGTTCAGACTGCAGAGAGGCTCCAGGGTGACGGGGAGCTGCAAGGCAGGACTGCTGCGAGGGGACCGGGAGGAGTGGACCATCCAAACTCCATTTGGCAAGGACGACTGCTGTGGCTGCGGGGGCTTTTTACTGAGTAACAACCCGCAGCAAATCGGCATGACGATGTGATTTCACCCCCTTCGAGCTGAGAGCTGGAGGAAAACACTGCAGGGAGCAGCCTGGGTCTGCTCCGCATGCAAGCCTTTCGGGACGATGAAGAGTTGGCCCGCTACTTCCAGCCTCCCTGGAGCAACAGGGATCTCTGGAGATCAGGAATTGGCATCCAGGCTCCGGGCACTGCACCCCCTTAGGGCAGGACTGTCTAACTTAGCTCTACGGCAGCCCGCAGAGTTGGAGTAAAGGTAAGTACTGAAACGGTAGTTGGTGGTGGTTTCATCTGGGACACCACTGCAAGTGAAAACCCGCTCGAGTGAGCTGCCTTGTGAACTACAGGTTGGGATGGATCCTGTTACAAAGCCTGGCCGTGCTGCGCACAGACTTGTCTCCATGGTAGCACACGGGAGCTGCCAAGCTCCGTGTCTCCCCAGCGAGACACCAAAGAGACTTCTCGAGGTGCTGCCTGACAGACCTAGAGGGAAGCTTGCTCATAGCTTGAAAGTTGTGTTGTAGGATCCAGGCCACTAACAGGACAGAGCCAACAGCTGGAAGGAACGCTGTGCGGTGTAAGGCCAGGCAGCCCCAACGTAACACGGCTGGGAGTCACAGCACAGAGAACCACATTCAGCAAGCCCAGAAGGCGTGTCGGGACGTACTCCCACAGCATCCTCCATAACGCACTGTAAATGAAGAACCTTTCAAACCTGCATCCAGCCTTATGAGCTGCTCGGGAGCAGTCGCAGCAGCGGTGCTGAGCAGGGAGGAAATACTGGTGAACGTGGGGAGAGAAAGCACATGAAGTGCAGGAGAACAGACCTGGTACCTATGTGAGTCCTCGGTTCCCACCACGATAGAGCAAGCAGTTACATGCACTGATAGCCAGGAGAGGCCAGAAACAGAAGAGATGAGGAGAGAAAAACATCGAGGTGTTTACCTGGATCTCTTTCAGGTCTTTGTCACACAGGTTCTGGAGGGGATCAATAAAATTTTGTTTGACTTCAATATCCAGTGAGTCCTTCACTTCAGCCAACCGCTTCATAGATTCGCCAGCATCAAGAAGCGCATCGCCTTCGAGTGAGAAAAGGAAGGGAAGAGGAAGGGAGAAAGGAGAAGGGGCCAGCCAGTTAAACAGAGCCGAAGTCTGTGGCGGCTGCATGCAGAGCCATTCTGCCAAGACACCAGCGTGTGCAAGCTCCGTCCCCCGTCCACATCTCTACCCGGAGCAAATCTCCGAGCCTGGCACGGAGCGAGCGGCGCCCGGCGTGAGAGCAGGCAACCGCCTGTTGGTACGGACTCCACACCAGACGCTTCACTAACAGGCCTCATTTTTTCCTCTCTGAAAAACAGGAACAATCTCTACCAACTACACAGAGGAAGGAAAAGGTGAAAATATTTTTAAAAGTAGTATTTCTAAACTCCCTGTTAGCTCAGGGAGCCGCTGAGCTGCTAACTGGCCATGCGGTGTTTTATCCTGGCTCTGCTCCTTGGCCACTGCTGGCAAGAGAAGCCCGGGGCACAGGTGCGTTCGGTCTGATCCAGCCTGGCCATCCTTTTGTTCAGACAATTTTAAGCCCAGAGTGCTCTGACCAACTTTTCAAGTTTCCCCAGATGTTGGCAGCAAACCTGCAGCCTTTAACTCATTTTAGACACTACCTCTACTGGGCCAACCTCACCCCTTCTCCTCCCCTCTGAATCAGAGAGCTCCAAGTTGCTTCTTGAAACCTGTTTCATTCCATGCTTTTCTAAGGCTCCTGCCACAGCGATGGCTAAGCCAGACTTGCAGCAAAGCATTTTTAGTCTTGGCCTTTTATTCCAGTGGAAGCCATTTATAGCTTAAATTCTTCCTGTGCAGCTTTGGCAAACCAACCGTTTCAGCACTACATTAGCACAGGAGAATACACAAGTGAAACAGAGGGTAAAGTGAAAACATCTCTCTGCTGTCCAGCTGGAAAAATACATACACAAGAAGAGTTATTTCCATTGTGATAACGCCAGATAACCTGTCCTAGGGAGGGATGCAGTACTAACACAGAAATTTATCAAGTTAAGTGTTCCTTTAAAGAGAGGCTATTAAAGGAAATCGGGTTCGGTGTGTTCTAAAAACTTCCTTCCCCCTTGCTCTCTGTAACAGCCCTGGTTCCTGCAAGCCAAGAGAGATGCAGGGCTTGGAGCTGGCCAGAGACACTCTCGAGAATCCCTCGTCACTCCCACAAAGCAGCCAGAGCTTTTTAATTTTCCTGAGGCGAGAAGGCTCCTCCCTGTGCTGGAAGCCACTGGACAGCTGTGTACTGTACCAGGTCTGTCACGCGCGCAGGCTGATGTTTTAGTGGATTAAAACTGATGTCACCAAAAGGCTTCACCCCCCTCCTCCCTGCGAGTCACACGTGGCTATGAGAAACCGCCACGCAAAACGATTTCTTGGCTGCAGCCTCCCTGTAGCAGAGCTCTAGCTGGAAGCCGCACCGTAAAACTCCCATCTCACTCAATCTCGTTTCCACGTCACCGTTGTTCAGTTTAGAAGCAAGGAAGCATTTTTTTTCTACTTGTAAATTTATCTCAGTGTTTAATAAGAAAGCATTAAGAGGTGGGTTTTCACATAATGCCAGGACACTTGGGCTCTGCTCACCCTTCCCTGACGCCCTGGGTGGACGCCTTCAAACCTCTTTTAAGAGCCCCCCTGTACTGTTAGGTGACGCAAAGGGTCACGCAGCCCTTCCAGAATTTCGAATAACAGCTTGGAAATCTGGCAGCAGCCTTCGCCACCTCATCCGCACGCTCCTAGGGGAGCCAGCCCGACGGGGCACTCACCGAAGTTGGAGTCCTCGCCCAGCTCCTTGCCGTACCGGATCATGCTCTCCCCCAGCAGCCCTTCCGACTGCGGGTAGCCGGGGTTCTTCACCTGCCCGCGGATCTTCGACATCGTGTTGAGCATGGTTAGCTTGGCTCTGGAAGCACCGCCCCCGCCCTTGTTTGCAATTACTGGGACTTGCCAGCAGCTGCTGGCCACTGCCAAATTTCTTTTTTTTTTTTTAAGCTACACCCGAAGCCAAGAAGCTCTATTGTCTTCATCTACCAGAAATATCACTCGCTGCAAAAAGAGAAGTTTCTTTTCCAAGACAGCAAGCAAAAATAGTTCCCCACACTTCGCCAGTGAAGGCCAGAGGAGTTTCCCCAGCCCTCCCATAGTCCCTGGAGTGCTCTCTGGACGAGCTGCCTGCAAGCACGCACGACAGCAGGCTCCAGAGATGATGCCTACAAAGCCAGCCACTCTTCCCAGCCCCGAGACGTCACTTTTTCTGGACATCCCCCCAGAAAAGGGTCCCCTTCAGGGCCTCTCTAGGTCCAAGGCGAAAGACGTGTCTGTTCTTTCACTGTTCAACAGCAACAGCAGCATCTTGCAGCCCAGGAACACAGCACAGGGGAAGAGGGGTGTCTGGATCTTCACCCGCGTCGCCTGATCTCGAACGTGGGCTGGTGACCAATATCTCAGGGCCAAAGAGGTTCTCTCTGACTCTCTCTGCCCCTTCTGTCTCCTTCCTGGCAAACTCAGGGGCAGAGGGAAGGAGACAGGAGAGGTCCGGGCACTCACCGGGGTTCGGCTGGAGGTACTCTATTGTTCTGGTCAGTACTTCTGTAACTGCCTTGCTGGTCAGGTCCACTTTCTGTAGGAAAGACAAGATGGCCCGCAGCAGTGAAGATCAGACCAGGGCTTTGCCAAGGTCACAGAAGAGTTATATGGCCAATTTTAGGGAGTTCTCTTGTTCCCTACTCACTTTTTCCATTTCCTTGAAGTCATCGTCTAGCTTGGTCCCTTCGGCCCCTCCGACCTTCTCGCTGACCAGCTGCAGAAAAAGAACAAGGGAGGAGGAATCAGGCACAGCAGCAACTGCTAAAAGCTCCTTACACCTCAGGCAGTAAGTCCCTGGGGCAGAGAGGGAAGAGGAGTGGTCCAGACAGCATCTGCGAGAGAAAGGAGGTGACAGGAACAGCCCAAAGCACATCAAAAAGACTCTTTGCAAATGCTGCCCCACTAAAAATACAAGCATCTCCTACCCTCCCAAAGGACAGCTCAGTCAAGATATTCCTCACCCAGCAGAAGCTACACAGCTCCTTAAATCACACCACACGGCTCCAACTCCAACGCCTGCTGGAAAAAGCAAGCAGCAGAACTGTCTCTCGACTCCATTTTGAGCCAAGGCTTCAGCTTCACACGTGGCAAAATGCAAGTAAACAGGGAGTGAACACACTCTGCTGATGGCAGCCAGGACAAGGGCAGAGTCTGGAGAGAGCAGAGACCTCCCAGAGCCCTCAACCATCGCTCCCAGGGCAACTGCTGGAGGACCTCAGCATCTGGGACACGGGGCTTTGAACTCTTTGTCAGCGGAGAATAGACCTGCGGAAGCTACGGTAAAGTTTTCAAATCCATTTATCAAAGCGTCTCTGACGCCTGTTCTAAAACTAGCGAAAAGGTGAGATGTTTGACGAGCTGCGAAGACAGGGCTGCTTTTGGCTATTTGCATGCAGGGCTTATCAGCTTGCTTCCAAATATTGCTTGGTCTGAGAAAGGACCCCTGCTCCCTAAACCTCTCCATTCAGCTGCCTGAGCTGAAGGATAATAACTGCCTTATTAAATCCACCTAAAAGTGCCCTTCCCTGCAGCCCAAACGGAGAGGAAAATTTCCTTCCCAGCCCCATGCTGGTGTGGCAAAGCAAGCGGCAGTGCCTGGGGATGCGGGACATAGGGATGGGCCAAAATTAGTGATTATCTTGCCACAAACTGGTCCAAACGGACAGCAAATTACCTACACAGACATCAAAAGTGGTCTAGGAAACAGGCGCTGACTCCCAGGCACTTCACGCCTGCCGCAGGGTACTGCCAGGATTTCTGCTGTTTGTAGTCAGAACTCCAGCTCTGGACGAACAATACAGGTTTGTTTACTTCAACATCAAATATCTGATTTTATCAAGTCTTTCTTCCTCTAGAACCCTCCTGCTCCCACAGGGATTCAAAACGGTTCCTTGCTTTTTTGAGGAAGAGCCGGTGGGGGGGAGAAACGAACCCTTTAGGTAACCACCGAGCTCCAACAGCACTCGGAGACCCCAACCGCAGCCGCTCTGCCCTGTGCGTGTGCACCCACCACACCATGCTCAGCCCCCAAAAATCAAGTTACCAAGCAGGACATTCAGAAGAAATGCTTGTTGTTACAGAGAAGAACAAGATCTTCAGCGTTTCAGCAAAATCCCACCTCCAGAATCCGAATATAATCCAAAATAATGTGCATATTCACAGACCCTCCGTACGCCGAGAGCCAGGCTCTGGTGCTGAGCACAAACGTCGCCGCTCAGAGCACAGCCACGGCTGAGAAGCTTCTTGCATCTCACTGGGGAGACATCTGCAAGCGTTCAGAGCTGCCAAGGCAGCGCAGACATTGCGGAGGAGAAGCTGGGAAGCATGGAGGACTCTTCTAACCGACCGCTCAGCACGGAGCCGCATGGCATCAATCACTGCAGGGCCAAAATGAGAGTTCAGCGAGGCTGACCAAGGAGGCAAAAGCCTCTCGGGGCCTCGCTGCACCAAGGGAAGCCTTCTTTAACTCTTTCAGAGGAAGCACAGTTCAGCAGAGGACCCGACACGCCAGAGAAAGAGGGACTGCTGTAGTCCACCCTTGGCATTTAGACACCGGGGGAAAGCAAAGGGTTGCTGCTCTCCTGCTTCGCCCACCTCAGCTCTGGATTTCGTTCTCCTGCTTAACCCTCAGACCAGGTCTTCACAGGTCCGCAGGACCCAGCAAGAGCGTGCCGTGTCCGGCGAGCAGATGGGAGAGGCTGGAAGGGACATTGCCACCCCTCAGCTGTGATCCGCAACCAATCCGAGCGTGATTTCGTGCTTTTTTTGGACGCCTGCTCCGTGCTTGGGGTGCCAGCACCCTGGCAAGCCGGCTCCGAGCTGGGGAGCTGCACGTTCCTCTCCAGACACACTGAGTCTGGGAGAAGAAAAAACCTCATGAAGCAGTTGCTCTGCCTGCCAGGGCAAGCTCAGCAGAGCAAAACTCGCTCCCAGCTGCCATCGTCAGGCCCCTGCCAAAAGTCCCGCAGAAAGGGGCTGCCGCACGCCCCGGCACGGCACGGATCACTTTCGCAATGGTCGCACCTCCGGAAACCTCCTTTATTTGTTAATACACCTGGGAAGGGTACAATTATCCCAAGCAATTCCAGTCCCACTTTTCTCCACCCACCCACCCACGGATTTCCAGCCCAGAAAGCTGCAAATAACCCCTCTGGCAGGGAGCTCTGCTGTCATCAGGGACTGCATGCCATGTCAAAGGCACTGATCACCACAGTGATTCTGGAGGCTTAACACCTCCCAGAGAGCTGAGATGTGAAGGAGGGGAAAAAAACCACCCAAAACCTCGCCTGCAGACTAATTTAATCCTCCTTTTGACGTCCAAGAAATACTACTGGTGCCCTGCTGTGAAGGAATAATAAGATTGAGGCTCTCTCCCTGCTGGCTCTAATTAAACTGGGAGGCTTCAGCATGGGAGGAAAGAAGGAGGGACCGCGTGCCATCCGCGCCAGCTCCATCCCTATCCCCACGCTCCAAAATCTGTCAGGCAGGGAGAGGAAACAATGCCGATTCCCCCACGGCGGTCACCGGGCCAC